AATGTTTTTAATTGTGTAACAGTTTAACGTTGAATATTATTTATGATTTTAACCATGTATTTAGTTGTAAATAGTCGTTATTATTGGGACTTTCGGCAATTCCAAACACTCTACGTTCAGGTCCTTGCTCATGTTTATTTATTCTGTTCTAGTATATTTTGTCTTGTTTCTTCTTCTTAGTTTGAAGTTTTAAGATCTGACCCTGGCTTTGTATATGGAGTTAATTTTTCTTCATTTGTTCATTGTTTATTTTGGCAGTTCGTCTGGTTTGACAACTTTTACACATATCTAATAGACTGTTTTCTCATCTTGCCAGTTTCGCAGCCAGCTACAATTGATAATCATTGGCTAGACAAATCTACTTTTGTAAATACCGTACAATACTTGTTAATTCTTGCAAATGGGTCACCATATTTTTGTCTTTTTGGTGCCCCCCAGTAGCACAGCGGTATGTCGGCGAACTTCTAACGCTAGAATCCGGGTTTCGATACCCGTGGTGGGAAAATCCCAGATAGCCCATTGTGTAGCTTTGTGCTTAATTACAAGCAAATTGTCTTTTTGGTTTGTATAATTATACTATATCCTGATGCTGACATTCATATAAATGTCAACAATGAAGTCCTACTCTATTTTCATCGTTTCTCTCGCTAACTTCAGCGTTCTGACGGGTAAGTTTGAGAACAGTGTTAATGATATCTCTGCAATGAGTGATGTATTCTGGGTAGGTTTAAATAAATGTATTATTATATTCAAGACGATCATGAAGAAGATTCAACGCTATCTCAGATTTCGACCAAGTGTGTAAGATGCTAGAAAATAGCCCTCAGTGTCATGTCCTCCAGATTTTGTATTTCAAGAAGAAAGATTGTTAGATTATTTTCTGATATTTTTTCTGTAATTTGCATAATATGGTTGGTTCAATATCACGTCATTGTATTGTTCTTTTCATTGAGAAATGGGATTTGCTCTTCTGATTTACTTTCTTCTTAAAATTTGTAATGACTATAACGTCCTGTTCTTCATAGTTACTTCATGAGTCTTTATTAACTTATTGACCAGATTCTTTGCTAATGTTTGAACTTCCTGGTTTAATACAATTAATGTATTTGCTCAATTTGTATAATAATAGGATGTACATGTACCGTGACTGTAATATTAGACCGAGTGGCATCAACAGCTTTTCTGTAAACTGGTGTATTAATACCAAACTTCTTAGATTCATCCCTTTAACCCCACAGATCACTGAAACATTTAACCAGGGATTAGCAACAACCAAGCAACAAAATTGTATGTCCTAAATAAAATATTCTCACTCCGCAATATAATATATAACTACTTTAATTTATATAACAAAATCCATATGAAAAACACGTAGAGTCCAGTAGCATTAACTTTCATTAGCCAAATTACCTATACAGTAATATTTACTTGAGACGGAATGTCTCGTATACTGTTTTGTGTTTTTTTTTTTACTCTCTATAATACTCGTATTTTCGGTTATTACATACCCATGTTCATTGTTTGTTTGTTTGTAATTATGCACAAAGCTACATAATGGGATATCAGTGTTCTGCCCACCACGGGTATCGAAACCCGGTTTCTAGCGTTGTGAATCCGCAGACATACCGTTGTGCTAACGGTGGGCCCCATGTTCATACATTTATATCAACAAATATTATTACAATAATTTAAAGACATGGTTATGATGAAAGCTTTGTATAATATATTCACTCGCCTTATTAATAGAAAAGCGACGCAAAATCGAAATTACAAATTTGGATATTACCACAGTTACACTGGGTTGTGTTTATGTGTTAAACCACAGATAAGTTCCATCTGTGTATATATATATATATGTACAGGTAAACTTGTATATGATCTGAAACTGGTATCTAGAGAATGTGTGTTAAATTTAACTGGCATAATATTTATTTACTTTCAGTTTCCTCCACATCTTTAAACAGACAGAAGAGACAAGATGAAGAATACGAATGTCCCTCACCAGATGGCTTATTTGCCGATCCTAGTACCTGCCGGCGATTTTACATTTGTTCCGGAGGATACCCATTCAGCCAAGCATGCCCTCCGTCACTGTATTTTGACGACATCAAAAAGTTTTGTACATTTAAATCGAAGCAGCTAACCTGCGGTCCAGTTGAAATGAGTAAGTAATGTGTTTTATTATTTTATGACATATTTTAAACTGTAAAACAAGTTTGTTTATTAATATAAAATTAGCTAAAAAACCGCTTTGGTGCTATGAAATCGAAAAAAAAACAACAACACAAAACGAATAAATCACAAGGATTATCAAACATAGAAAGTCCGAAATTAACATCATGCAACATATATAGTGCAACATACACGAGAAACACTGGCAAAACAGTTTTATTACAATAGGATAATATAAATAAAAATAAAAATCCAAGTAGGAATACGAATCAAAAATAAGTTTGAATTTTATTTTAACGTATTTGAAAAAATGTCAATAATATTAACAGATAATTACGTATTTTGCGTTGTTGCGTAGCAAAAATCCCACGTTTCTAAAGTTCTAAACATAGCTAGTACTCTAGGATCTAAAAAATAAAAATATAATAAAAATTAAATACATACTTAAAGGTGAAGTATATGTGTGTGTGAGGAAAAGATACAGGTGAACTTTGTGCATAAACATCTTTATGGGCTCACACATGCTTTTACACGCGCGCGCTTATACACACACACACACAACAACAACAACATCGGCAGAGTTATAGAAATCAAAATCTTTCATTTATTCTCTTCGGTTGAATGGTACCAAGCCAATAGATGAGTTGATGTTCATCTTGTCTCTTTTACTTGACTGTCGATTAATGACGGAGGGCCAGGATTCTGAAATGGTTAATGTAAAAAATAAATAAAAAACATTGTTTTGCCAGTGTTTCACATGTATGCCACGTTATAGCTGTTGCATCATGTTAATTTCGAACGTTCTATGTCTGATAATCCTCGTGATATCAAACATTCTGTTCCACTAAAGTTTAAAATCACCAGAGGAAGGGCGTCCCAGCCCGAAACGTTGTGAATATTAAAACATCTATTTCGCATCAGCCAATTTTCGTGGTATAAGTTTGTTTTTGTTTCCATTTTTTTTGTTTTTGTTATTTATTAATATAAGCGACACTATGGTAGAAGTACTATTTACTATCACAAATATAAGCAGTTTGAAATGGGTGAGAATTTGAATGCATAAATGGTAGTTATTTTCAAGTGTACTAATAATAAATATTGTTAAAGTGTCTCAAGTGCCGTACGGCCCTAGTAGTTAACGTGCCCGGACAGTGAATGCAATAGTTCACGGTTCATATCCCGTTGCCACAAAAAATTAATTTACTCCTTGGGGTCGTGGATGCCAGTTCTTCTACATCAAGAGTAGCCCTCCAGTGGCACAGCGGTATGTCTGCGGACTTACAACGCTAGAATCCGGGTTTCGATACCCGTGGTGGGTAGAGCACAGATAGCCCATTGTGTAGCTTTGTGCTTGATTACAAACAAACTAACTAAGTCAAGAGTAAAGTTAATTGAAGTAACATAAATAAATAAGTAAATGATATTGATAATAAACAGTTTGGTGTTAAAATAAATACATAATTTGATCCTATGTATATTGTGAACTGTGGTGTCTGTTCGATTGTTCGTCCGTCTTCCGTTTGAAAAGCTACACACGCAGGCAAAGCTCAACATTCACTTTTGAAATGACAGAAGAACGGGCATGAATAATGTTGATGCCAAATTTTACTTCGCAAGCAGGACATTTTACACTAAACTGTTAGGAATTATTCACACTATCATTCACATTTCAAAATGTGACGTAACTTAAATAATAAAAATGTTATTGTTGACCAAGCGGCTCTTAGCAAGACTGAAATGCTCAACAATTACTTTTCGCGGTAGGTGGTATAAGTAGTTCAGAGCTTTGGCTCTGAATGAAACCAAGAGTGCAACAAAATTAAAATTGTTTAATTGGGGCTATCTGTACAGAGCCGTCCCTAGTTTTGAGCTGATAGGCTAGAATTAAGGCAGCTGGTCAACATTACCCACCGCCCACTCTTGGGCTACTTGTATCTGATCAAATAATGGGATTTTACCTTCACTCTTATAGCGCTATTTGTGACAACGATTCACGAATCACGAACTCTTAAATCCACAGTCTGTAAACGCTAATCACTACAAAAAGCCGTGCCTCTAGAGTTAAAATTCCAGTTAACTTTCTCAAACAAGCGAAACGTAAACAATTCTAATTGCTTGCTAGTTTTCACAGAATATTATTTATGAATGCTTGATAAGTGTTACTGTTACGAAGTGTACATTCGGCAAAGCGTTGTTTATACTTAAACGTCAACGTTCTTGTGGCATTTGTAATAGTTTTGTAAAACCACTGAGTTTCGTATGTTTTATTTATATTATTATTATTATTACATAACTTGACTAACCAAATCCAAATTTATGTATCATTCAGTATTTTATTCGAATTTCATTAAAGGTGAATCAATCCAAATTACCTCCCGTTATAACCAAATACATGGTCTAATCGTTACAGTGCTTGGGTTGTAAATCTGACGATTCATGGTTCGCAGTACGTTGCCCCCAAAACGTACTCCGCCCTTTAAAACCGTAGGTGCACTATAAGAGTGAAGATCAAATTCCACTATTCGGCCAGACAAGAGTAACCCCAAGATTTGGCGGTGGATACTGTTTACTAGTTGGCAGGTTAAAAATTGAGGAGATCTATGTCAGATAGCCCTTGGGTAGCTTTGCCGGAATTTCAGAAACAAACAATCATTTCTCGAAAGAGTGACAATTCTCATGTTATTGGTTAAGAAAATTGTAAAAACTTTCGAATCCGTTCGATACCAAAACACATTCCCAGCATTTTTAAGTTATAACAATGACAGTCAATCCTTCAACACAGACGGTGGGTACTGCTTCCCTCGAGTCAGTAGCTCAAAATTAAGAACAATAACTTAGTAGCTTTACTTTTTATTTGCAGTATTTTTATTTGTTTTAAGTTTTAAAACTTATATATTGTTTGAAAAGATTATTTGAGTATTTTTGTTTAAACGAAAAGCTACACTATGGTCTGTCTGTGTTTTGCCAGCTGCAGGGAATGAGCTCTCAAGTGTTATCAATGACTTTGTGTTACTGCTGTAATTCTGCATGCTTATGGGAAAGAATTAAATGAAATGAGTTGTTTAATAAGATGTAAAATTTATACATTTTCTGATTATTTAAAATGTCTACACTAAAAAAGCCTAAAAATACCATTTTTATATTTACGCCTCCCGGTGGCTCAGTGATAAGTTTGAGGGCTTATAACGCTAAAAAGTGGGCTTCAATACTCGTGGTAGGCACAGAACAGATGGCCCATTGTGTAGCTTTGTTCTTAATAACAAATAAAGAAACAAAAACTATATATATATATATTTATTTCTTATAAAAAAAATTCCCACATTTTCTATTATCGTAACTAACCAATTATAAAAGAGCTTTTTGTAAGAGCCATCGGTGCATAGCCATCCCTAATTTGGAACTGATAGTTCTAGCGCAAAACTTCACAATAGGCTAACTACGCTGAGGGACTTTAAACTGATAAAATAAAAGGAAAATAACTAGTTAACAGCACCAACTGTTAACTTTTAGGCTACTCTTGTCTGACCGAATAACTGAATTTGACTGTGCCTTTTATAGCGCACCAACGACCTCAAAGAGTTGAGTGAATTTCTGAAGTAACAGGACACAAGCCAAGAATAATTGGATTTACAGTTCAATCACTCAACCACTAGTCCCATATATAAAGTATAACTATTCTTTATTCATAAACATACTGATATAGTTTCAGTTATGTTTCCAACTTTACAAGACAAAATAACAGTAAAACAGCAGATTGCAGTACATTTCAATGTGACCAAAAACATATTATTAAACTTTACATTTTAATCTAAGTTGTAATAAAAGCCTATCGCCGAAGCTGGCAAAACAAAATGATATCATACTCGTTACATCAAAAGATGTATATTTTCTAATTTAGAAAACAAACAAATTATAAAAAACTATGTATTAATCAAAATAACAACTGGGATTGGACGAGAGGTCTCAATCACGTGCTCAAAGAAATAAATCGAGGGTAAAGGTTGCTTCAAAGCGGTTATTTACTGCCTCAAGTATAAATAATAAAATGAAAGAATTACGCTTGTAAAACGGTAGAAAAACCTGATTAACAAGTTTCAGTGTTGTGTTTTTCTTGTGAATGACGATAGCCTAAAAAACAACAACAACAAAAAAACACCAAAAAACAACAAACCCTGATATTGTAAAGGTTAACCTACAAATGACGACGAAGCGCAATGATACTAATTGATATTGTCCCTGTTCACTCGAAGGATGACCTTAGGATGTCTTTGCACTTTGTACATAGTTCAACTTGACTATATATATTGAATAGCTGAAAACTACACATTTCGAAAATCTCTCGTGGAATAGAAATTTTATTTTACCTTTTCAACCTTTAACCTTTTTAAAACAAACCACAAAAAAAAACGGCATAACGTTTTCAAAAGTTATTCCATCTTCAAATTTATTTCACTCATCAGAATCTATAATTTTTGTTTCTAAGGTTGTATTTCTTCAAAGAAATTGTTATGTTAAAAACATGCCTGACGAAGTTTGTATCATTCATTCCCTTAAAATAGATACTACAGAAAGATTGCCTTCTTTTGACACTTTTTAACGGTTTATATCAATTTATACGTTCATTAGTCTTGTATGCAAACGAATAGTCAAACCTGTAATCTAGTTGGTTGCAGAAGACAACATCTATTTCATTCCAAAAACCGCTGTTTTAAGACAATTAGATATAAAGGTTGATCGGTTATATTACCTTTGAGCAATTATAACCCTCAACACTGGAGGGGGGGAGAGGGTATAGCAATTGGGTCCGCGTGTGTGTGTGTCTATCTGTGTTTCCGCTCGCGTATCTCGAACACCAATAGACTTACTTATATGAAAATGTTACACAAGATGGGAAATCAGTATGGAACAGTCCTCTCCAAATTTGGTTCGGATCCAAATCCGGATCCAGATTCCGAATCACTTTGAAGCATTTTTATAAAGGGGAGATAAGGC